AAAAGCCAACGGCCCTTGGTCCCTGCCCCGGGGCGGGGTGTGGGGGGCTGGAATGAAGGGCGGCAGGCAGGCAGCCTTCCTGCAGGGTGCTGGCACGCTGCTGGCCAAGCGGGCAAGCAGGCGAGCGTGCCATGGGCTAGCTCCCCATGGGAACCCAGCCACTGGAATGGACAAGCCTGCTGATTAGCGGCAGCTCGGAGGACGCCTGCTCGCTCGAGAAGGGGAGGGCTGTGTTTCTGGAAGTGAACATTTGGGGTTTAGTCGTCTGTCCGCCACAGTGGGCAGGGTCCTCTCTCCTTTTGCCACGGCCATGGGAGCCCTAACCCAGACCCTCGATCAAGTGCAAAGGACTCACCGCGCTCTCAATGCTCCTGGCCGTCTCTCCAAAGAGCTCGGACTTGGGGTCGGCCATCTCGGGTGTGTAGAACAGCTCCTGGCCTTCCACCTCCTCCAAGATGAGGACTCCTTGGAAGACTTTGGTAGCTACGGGAGGGAGGGTAAAGAAGACAAACACCTTTAGTCGGCTTGCGGGCAGGGAACAGGCGTGTGGCTGACAGCCGCAAGGAGCGTTCGAGTCCCTGGGGGGAAAGGGTGATGGCAGTGTGCGGGTAGTGCCAGTGTTGGGGTTAGTCTGGATGGGTCTGGGAGAGCGCCATGGAGGATTAGTATCAGAGGGTGCTGGAGCAGATGGCAAAGACCAGGCTGGAGATGGCAGCTTTTACCATACGGTTTCCTCTGAGCTCCGGCCCGGAGAGCAGCCCCCCTGCACCGGCTGAGTAACAAGAGAAAGACGTTAGCCAGAGCAGCACACAGTCAATGCGGCAGGATCAGACATGTGCATGCAAACGGGGGGCAGCGGAGGGCGAAACGTGGACTCTGGACATGGAGAAGACCTGTGCTGGGAGAGGGAAGCGGAGACCCTGCTAGCTAACAGGCTGTGGCCGGCCTTGCAAAACCAGACCAGACCCGCGACGGGAACCCAAGGTGTGGTTCCCTTCCAGGGGAGCGGCGAGAGCGCAGAGACGGCTACAGCAAGGTCCCCGCTGCGGGTAGCCACGTGGGAGGGTCCCAGCAGCCGTCCTTTCGTGGGTTAAAACAGGAACACGGTGTCCAGCGGAAAAGGGGGATGTCCCGCTGGAAACCCCAAGGACAGAGAAGAAGGACCTCAGTGAGCAGTGAGGAAACATCTGGGACATGGCCCCAGAGCAATAATTTTTAGGGTAACGAGGACGGACGTCCAGAGCAACCAACGCCCTGACCAAGCATGGGTGGCTTGGTGCTTCCTCGACACGGGCGGCATGAAAGGGACCGCGAGCGGGCAAGGCAGATCCCCGCTGAGGCCACGAGAGCAGCACGCACTCCTGGGAAGCCCAGGGTGAGTCGGGAAGCTCAGGCTGCCTGGGAAGCCCATCAGGGACACTGGGGCTACAGCTGCTCCCCCCGCGTGCTCTGGCATGGAGCTGGTCCTGGTCAGCCCAGCTCCCTTTACAGCCATCGGCACAGATCAAATGGGAATCCAAGAAATTCCCTCCTCCCCACTAGTCGTGAGCTCTGCAGGAGCCTGGACAAAAACACCGGTCAAAGTTTTAAGGCTGCAGCAGTCAAGGAAGAAAGTGGTCCCCTAAGCGAAGAAAACTGCAGTGTCCGTGCGAACGGTGGCGCCCACCCGAGCACTGGGGCTGGGTGCTGGGGGCTGCAGCGGGTGGGCACAACGCCGGCCAGCTACCACGGCTCAGCACGTCCCTGCGCACACCCACCAGGGACACACCAGCCCCCGGACTGGACGCCAGAGCCGTGCTCGCTGCCAGCATGGGCAAGCACAGCACCGTGCCCTCCCCGCAGGGCAGCATCTCCCCCTCTCCTGCACCCTGCGAGAGCTCAGGTTGAGCCCTGACCACCGAAAGGGAGCCCGGAGCCCAGCCCCGAGGACAAACTCACCCGGACAGTTGCTGCCTTCCGCGTCAGCCGCTGCCGTCTTGCCGTCAGAGCAGCATCCCAGCGGGGTGTTGTAACAGGTCGCCCTCTCGATGGCTGGGGTGGAAGTTACCTGGCTTTCCTCCACCTCCTCTTCCCCTGCAGGGCATTAAGAGGAGCGTTCACCAGCAGGAGGCAAGACCCAACCTCTGTGTTAGGGAAGGAGGCTGAGACACCGCTTCATTTTGTCACGAGGGCCAGGGCACGGTTGAGACCCCAGCCGACCTGCCCAGCCTAAGCAGCGCACACTCACCAGCGGAGCCCGCCCCGCTTGATTCCTGGTCTCCGCTGATGCCCAGCTCTTGGTCGCCGCTGCCTTCTGCACTGCCTGATTCAACGTAGGCAGGCTGGGTGGTGGCCAGGACCACCGGGGCGGTGGAGAGAGGGCGGACGGTGGTCTTATACACCCCATGGGTCACCCACGGTGTGGTGGCCGGTCTGGCAGTTGTGATGCGCCTTGTGGTAGGGTGACCTCTTTCAGTAGGCCTGGCTTCCAACAGCGGAGAGCTGGTAGCCAGCTCGGTGGGTTCTGGAGCCCGGGTGGTGAGCCGTAGAGGCGGAGGAAGGATTAACTTGTCCAGGGGCAGCGTGGGCAGCGGCGTGGGTGGTGAGGGGTGGCTTGTGTGCGTGATGGACTCTGAAAGGAGCAGCAAGACAGGGGAGGTTAAGGAGGGGCAGGTCTGGGAAAGGCTGGCCGTGACACCGGGAAGCCCGTTGCAAGCCCTCGTGAAGCATCACGGCGCAGCGAGGAATCGCAGAGGGAGGCAGCCAGACCCGGGCGCAGCATCAGGCCAGAGGGCTGGCACCGTCCCGGCACCGAGAGCCGCCGACACTCACCGTGGCACTGCCCCACGTGCTTCACTGTGATGACCTGTCCCTGCCGGCAGGCGATGGTCTTCAGCTGGCACTGGTCCCCGTAAGTGACACCATCAGAGCCACACACCTGGGAAGCAGAGGGGAAATGTGAGCTTGCACCTCTGTCCTCCTCCAAGCCCTGGGCAAAATAAACCAGTCTCTAAATTCCGGGAGCAGAGGCTTGGCAGGGGTCCCTCTGAGGCAAAAAGGGGATGGTGTGCACAGAGGGCCCTGAGGGCAGGCTGCGGAAGCCCAGGAGCAGCCCAGAGGTGCCCGGCGGGGCACAGGGCACCCGGCTCCACTGGGAGACACCCAGGACTCACACCCTTCTGGCAGACACCGGGGTCACCCTTCCCCATGCACCCAAGCCAGCAACCGAGCTCGCCCGCCTGCTTCTTGGAGGAGGGGAGAAGAGAGATCAGGCTCCGGCGCTGCTTGCGCCAGCCCGACGTGGCTGAGCCAGCCGCACGTCCCCGTGCATGCCGCTCGGCCTCTCCTGCAAACCTTGGTCATGTTGGCTTCCGAGCAGAGCGGGGACGGGCACTCGCAGTGGGCAAAGCCGTTGACTTCCACGCAGGAGGCCCCAAACTCGCAGCTCATTTCCTCACAGGATTTTGGGGCTGATGGGTCTGGGGTAGGGAGAGAAAAGGAGGAGAGATTGGCCAACAAAGCACGTACCAATGATACAGAAACAGGCTACGCTGAATCAAAATCCATCCCTCCTCCCAGCGGGTCTTAGCTCTCCCAGGGACTCACCAGAGCAGTTCAGACCAGTGGAGAAGATGAGCTTTCACCCAACAGAGCCCCATGCTGCGCACGAGCGCACGGATAACAGGAACCCAGCCAGGAATGGAGGCCAGGGCCCCTTTCCCCCGAAGCACAAGCACGCGGGGTGCGACGGATGCGTTTCTTTCACGGCCCTACGTGTTGCCCCATGGCGGTACCCAGGCACCCGTTTCTTGGCACCCCCACACAACCCCTCTGGTACAGGGCCCCCTCACCTTTCTCACAGCCGGTCATGCCCAGTTTGCTGCCGTTGGGGCACTGGTTGCATTTCATGCCGGTGATACCCGTCTTGCAGGAGCACAGTCCGGTCATCTGCTCACAGTCATCGCGCACGGAGCCCACCGGGTCGCAGTTACAGGCTGGGCAAGAAGGGGAAAAAAAGACTTTGTTTTGCTGGTGGATCCGCGGAGCCAACAGCAGACTCGCTCAGGTCCCCCACCAATGCAAGGGAAGAGCGAGGAGAAGGGGCCGGGGGAAGACCATAGGGCTGAGTGCTCCCCCTGTGCTTACTGGCACCGGAGCCTGCCTCCACCCGCTACCCTCTGCCCACGGTCCCATGGGTCGTGATCCCACTCCCACCCCACCGGCACACGCAGGGCCACCAGGGCTCATCCACACTGGGCTCGAGCAGCCCCGCAGAACGGGGAAAGGACTTGATGACCTTAAAGGTCTTTTCCAACCTAAACAATTCGATGATTCTAACCTCTGGTCAGGGAGCAGGCCCACAGAAGGAGGCAGCATCTTCTAAGCCAAGCTGCCCTACAGGGGCGCAACGGCACCCACGCAATGCTTCAGGCCACCCCGTCCCTCTTGCACAGAGCGAGCCACCAAGCTCCACGAAAAGAGCTGCCGGAGG